ATCTTGCCCCCGCCCCTAACCCGTCGACCACTGCGCGCTGCCCGGAAGAAGAAGAGGAGAGCTCAACTTTCCGGAAGTTCCAGGCGACGGAGGAGCGCCTCCATGGCGGAACGAGGACCTCCCCGTGAGGCGGGGAGGCACTGCGGCACCGGTGGGCAGGGCCGCGCTTAGCGGGGGGTGGTGGGGAGATGGGCTCCCGCCCCCCGAGCGCTGCCTCAGCGAAGGACCGTTTTTCCCGCCAATGGTCGGTCGCCCTCACTGCCCCTCACACCCGCTCTCCGGTCCCGCTTTTTTTTTGCCCAGAAGAAAACGTTTCCCTCCTCTCCTACCAGAGGGAAGAAAGGGGCAATTGTTAATTTTTCCGACGCCCGAGGCAGCCAAGGTGACATTTTCATTTTATTTTTTTTTGCTGAAAGTGAGAGGTAAAGGAGGTTTTTTCAGCTTCCCCCCTCCCCTTCCAAGAGCGCTTTTTACCACAACTCGTTCTTCTTGTATACAGGTGAACACGTGAAATATTTTTTCGTGTTTTCATTATTTCAGGAAGCCTTTGGAAAATAATAATTACACGTGAATTCATGAGCTTAGTTTTTGACCTTCTCCCTCACCTCTTAAATTTTTTTTTTTTTTTAAAAAAAGTATACAAGCCTGTTAGCAAAACCCAGCCAACTGTATTTTACCAAAGTATAAAAATGACTGGCAATGTGACCCCTTGCTTTTTACACATATAAATTAGCAGTTAATACACAGGTTCTGATCACTACCAAATATTTTAAGGGGGTGAAACAAACAAGTACTAATTCATGCCACCAAGTCATTCTAATACATCCAGGTAGATATTAAACTGAAAATAAGCTGTGTGCAAGCCAAATGCTAAAACAGCAGGAACCTGAAACCAGCATAGATCAACAAGCTATATCAAATGTACATTTTTTATTTTGTAACTTCCTCTGCCACCTAAAATTACAGTCTGCTTTTTACACTAAAGCACCTAAAATATTTACAACCATCTTCTAATAAAATAACAGTTAAATACTGAAAATAAGATTTTTCTCATAAAATATGTTTTCTATATGTACAGGTTTTATCAAAGAAGACTAAATTCAATAGTGAACAGTTTTCCATTATCAACCATCAGCAAGAAAACAAGTTTTCTGAAATAAAACTATGTCCAACTTATGTACAAATAGGCAGAACAGCATCTATTTAATATCAGCCAATGCAACACTTAATAATAATGAAGTCAATGCTTGAGGCCTAGATCGTGTACTGCTTAAGAAATGTGCATTTCTTTTTCTCCTTTATGTGTAACTTCTTTGGTTATCTTTGTTCTATTATCTTCTTGGCTGTACAATAAAGCAGCATCCGATTAATGTTACAGAACCAGGCATATATGTGTGTATATATATATTTATATATACTAGGTTTAGCACAGATATCTGTACAATTTATGCCATAAAATTTCCACTGCAGATTCTTTAATATAGAGCTGCTCTTCAGAATTAAGCCCACAAGTTCCTACTATATTTCACCCTGTTCTTCAAGCAGAACTCTCACTGACTTCAATTATCACTTTAAACACTCAGTTTTTCCCCCACCAACAGGGAAATCTGAAAACATGTTTCCATTTTCCAGTGTAACAACCTTTCTCAGAAAGATCCTTGAAAGTTCAAAATGATACAAGTTTGGAAGAGAAAGAGTAGACTCCACTGGGTTGTTTCTAACACAGGCTCCTAAAAGCCAACACAAGTTACTGCTCACAAAAGCCTCCGCTTTGCAAACCCCTAAGACTCACACAACCTACAAAATTTATTACCAGTGGATCTATTTGGCAGCATACAGCTCAACACCAAGTCTGCCAAACCTGGGTCGCGTGGCCCCTGCAAAAATAACGTGTCACAGCATGGACAGGAACTGCTTGGCAGTTTGGGAAAGAAAAGGCTACTTGCCTGGTCTCCTGAAACTCACAGGTACAAGTAATTGAGAACATCATCCCTTACAGAGCAGAGGGAGTGAAGTTCCACCTGCTGGTCAAAGCCAACTGAAAAAAAAATCCCCCCTGGAACAACCCACAAAAACAATAAAACAAGCCATGTAACACAGGAACTTCACTAACCTCAAACTGAGAAGTGATTTCCACTCTCCTGAACGGTTGTTCTTTAGCATCTGAACATTTGACCTTAAGTAGAAACTTCAGGTCATTTGGCTTCACGTATTTGGCTTTGACAGAGAAGGCACCTCTCTGCCAATGAGTCCCACTGGTTTTGAACTTGTGTGGTCCAGAAAAGTGCCATGGTTTACCCTCATGTTGCATAGTTATACAAGGAAGAAAGACAGTAGAAAGTAAGATCCACCATCTCTCAGATTCTGCTTAAGATGTTGGGAATGTGGCAAAAAAACTCAGTAAAACAAAACCCATAAAAACACCAAACAGTCCTGAAATCTGGAAGATCTGAAATCAGTCTTATAAAATATTTTATAAAGTTAGCGATACTCCTCTACTGTGCAAAATTCACAAGAAAATCAGTGCTGCTACCTGTGAAAACTCTAAAATCAATATTCATGTTCTGTATTTAAAGGTCTACTCAACCTAACTCCAATTCTTCCTTACTTCTTTAATTCTGCAAGGTACAATACTTTTGAGATCCTGTTTACTTAAAAGAACCAAATCTAAATTTACATAAACGGTGTTAAGACATCCAGCACATAGATCTGAATCTAAGAGAGAAGAAACAACAGTTAAACAGCAATGTCAACTCACCTCTTTTACTAAACAAACAACATTTAAATTTGGTGTAAATGAGGACTGAAAATGGCACCAGAATAACATTTCATGCCTACAAGTAATAACTAACATGCTGAAGGCATATATTCCATCAATTTCTGTTCCACAGGCAAGAACGTCTCCCTGTATTTGCCTGGTGAGAGAGCAAGCTCCTGCGGTGCTCAAGCGTGCACTCTCCTAAAACCACCAAGATGGCTATTCAGTAGTGGGATTTACTGTCACAGCAAAATAAATTTCCAGTGCAATCTGATTACCAAGGCTGTGTTCCTGATTCAGTGTTCCCATCAGATGATGTGAGCCACAGTACTATCATCTTCCTCCTTCAACCCTTGAATTAGGTCGTTTCGAAATCAGCAGATCAAAACCTTGCTAAAATGGAAGCTCTAAAACGTACAGCGTAACCAATACTTTTACAAACTGCCTAACATGTATGTGTTAAGGCAAGACAGAACTGAAAAAGTACCGTCATACTACAGATGATACAGTCACTCCTGTAATTATTTCACAGTTAAATCAGATTATTATTTTTTTCTTCCACCTCCCTTAAAATGACAGCACAAAGACAAAGAATATAATCATCTCCTTAACAAAGATGACATTTAGTCTCTGGAAGATGCTGGAAGTAATCCAGTACAGGCAAAAAAAAAGTTCCATCAGAAGTGTGTCAAGACCATTCTCGTAACTGGGCTAAAATGAAACTCAGAAGAGTTAAAGACTAAAGATCCTACCGGGATCATCTGGAGGGAAGTGACAGCAGAACCATGAACTTCTGTAATTAGTGGCCTTGAAAGCTATCAGCAAAATGAGTTCAGATAAAAACACCTTATAAGAATATTTGTACCAATTATTTATTTTCCCCCAAAACCCACAAATTAATAAAAAAAACGGTGAGGAAAAAACCAAATTTTTTTTCTAGACCTGGATAAAAGAATTATCATTTTCAACAGGTAGTTTACAATCAGTGGGGAATAAACGAACAGTCCAGGTTTCCTGATTGATCCATTCAGGGTGTGCTCAGTTGCTGTCTGTCAAACAACTTTATTTACAACTCAGCATCATCCTGCAGTAGATCTGCATCTTCATCATCCAGTAAAAGGTCAGCATCCATTACTTCATTCTCTTCCATGACATCACCCAGCTCCTGAACAACATCGTCATCGATGTCGCCGACATTTTTAACCAAGCTCATGTGATCCAGAGGGATCAAACCATGCCCAACTGGCCCAGTAGTTCTTGCAATCGTGGCTGCCATTTCTGCTGCCACAGCAGCCTTCTGAGCCTTCTGCCGCTGCTGTTCTTCGTGTTGTCTGTGAGTCTTCATATGGGCATTGCGGCTTTTGATTTTGAAAAATACCCTAAATTTTGGAGGGGGAAAAAAAATCAGATAAAAATGCATCGCTTTTGATGAAGCAAGCCAAAAAAGACTCAACAACCTATGAGTACATTTGCCTCCTTGTCCTGAAATAGAAGCCAGTGAAGTCTGCAATGCCATGGTGAGAATTTCAGGGACAGACTACCAGATATATACATCCTCACAGCATCAACATGGCCTACTCTGACTCTGCTGGAGGTATTCTGTGGCTCCAACAGTTGCTTCAGTATCTCTGCACATCCTAATTCTCCCCGTACTTAGTTTAACAAGTCTTGCACAACAGGGAAAAAAAGTGACAAAATCTCACATTAAGATGGATGAACTGAAGCACAGAGGAAGTTGCCCACTGCCGCCTGTAAGGCTGTGACTTTTTTTTCTGAACTGTGAGATGCAGACATTCAAGCAGTTAAATGGATTTAGGAAAATTGGAGGAAATACTGCAGGGGAACTACCCAAAACATCATGCAAACCAATCTCTGAAGGTTTTGGTAACAGGACATGTCATCTAAGGGGAAACTGTTTTTTTGCAGACCGTCAGAGTGAAATAAAGAGCTTGTCGCAACGCTATTTATCCAGAATAGGCAAATGCGCCATGATGCTGCAGACAGTCACACTTACTTGCCACACTCCTTGCAAGGAAAAATTGTTGTTGGGTCGGTCTCACCGCTTGTTGTGCTGTGGGCAGGTGAACTCTTGATGGAGCAGTATCCACTCTGCGTACCAGATTTCTGTTTAGTGCCTGGAACGGTGCATCGTGGTTTTGTCACCTGATTCGTACCTCCATGAATGCGAGCATGGCCGTTTAGCGCTTGTCGCGAACTGAACACCTGCCAGGGAGTAGGGATGGAGGGGTAAAGCAAAACAAAACATGAAATACTGCACTGAAGCAGACACTGCAAAAAGCAGTGCTGAATGCATACTACAAAAGATGAACTGTATGCATCTAACAAGCACAATCTACTTGGCCAAATGCTGCTTGCTCTCAGCTATATCCCACCAGAGTTAAAAAAAAAAATCAGTGAGCTATCCTTTTATTACAGTTGTATAACAAAAAGTTAAATCAGAGCTGTTATCTTACAGTATTTCTAATGGATACAACATCTCAGAATGTTATGTACAGATCAGCATATTGCCTGTATGCTGTGAGGTAGGAATTAAAAGCAGGCAAAATTATTTGTCCAGCAATAGTCAGAAGGTATCACTGGCCAGGAACAGCTGAAGCCTCTGATTTCCAAAATCACAATTCACTAGTATACACCCTCCTTCCAACACACACCGCTATTAAAGATACCAAACACACGTACAGCGCCACAGTTTGGCATTTCACAGATGAAGGAGGACGAAGAGAGTGAAAGACCCTGAAGGGCAGGCTGATCTATAGGTCCAACGAGAGAGATAGCTGGTGGGTCAGGAGACTTCTGCATTTCCCTTTCTTCCTTTCTGTCTTCTTCAATCTCCTCATCTTCCTCTAACACTTCCTCTTCTCCACTTGTCTGAAAGAGACAGTGCATTTAAGAAATACTAGAAATATGGTCCAAGAAAGACAGGACTGGATAGCACAACACAGACAGTGCTGGAACAGCACGCTGCTTCATCCAGTCTGCTTCCAGCTTTCAGTAATTTTTTCCCCATTCTGAATGAACTTCTGGTCTTCCTGGAATTACAGCTCCTTAGCGGGCAAAGCTATGGCTCATGAAGCTTCGCTGCAGTGCTCAAAACACCCTCTACCTGTATTACAGAGCTGCAGCTCCAAAAATCTACAGATATCAAGGTGCAACACTCTCGCTTAGATGTTACAATGCCACCATATGCTATATTCATAGTAAAATTAAATTACCTACTTTTTAAAAACAAACAAAAAACCAATCCAAACAAAAACCACCTCATACCTCTTAAGAATACTCGGAAATACAGACCCTGGAAACAAAGAACTGCATTGCCAGTCTGTGTAAATGGTATTGTACTAGAATATCAGGGCAGCCTTTAGGAGCACACACAGGCACAGGAAAAATTTACAGGGGTTTACCTGTTTCGATGTAGCAAAAGCCATAATAGCTTGACTAGAGTTAGATAATGCAATAGTCAAAGCGTTTTTATCCCATTACAGTGCAGGCACACAGAATCTTGGCATAGCTGAGGTCGCAAAATGCTCACACAGAACATAATTTAGAATTATGGAATAATTTCAGTTACAAGAGACCTATGTCACCTAGTTTGACCTCCTCCTCAAAACAGGATGAACAAAAATTGTCAAATCTTAAAACTTTCCCATATTCTTCTAGACTTACCAGGCATTCCTCTCTTTTCTTTTCTAAACGTGTTCTGTGCTTCCGTCCCAAACGCAAGATCTTCTTCCAGGTATAGTAGTATTCCACACATTGTGCAACCGTCTTAGACTTAACCTATAGTTAAGTAATTGCAGAAATAGTCCAATCTCATTTTTTTGCTTTCGTTCAACACAGTTTTAATATATTCCAAGAGGCTGGCTTTATTTCTCAAACATCCAAATGGAGAAAAAAAGAACAGTTTGACTATGACAGGAATATCCATGTAGAAAAACTTTTTTTTTAGTTATTGTTTTTCAGTCAAATTTATGTTGACTCTTTCAGCTGCAGTATGTTTCTCTGTGATTCTCTAGATTCTAGTCAGAAAACAACTGAGAATATATTTTTGTAGCTCAAGTGTATGATACCACTGAGAAATTTAGGAATTAAGACTTGGCTCCCATAAATCCAAATTTCAGCATTTGAGCTACCAAGTAAGGTATTCTGCCCTTAGATGTATACACCTTGTCTTCTCTACTTTGTGGCAGAACATGAAAGTTAAGCCCACTCTCTCTTTATCGAGAGTTTTTGGCACAAGGCTCGGTGTCAGTGACTCAGAGAGCACCAGGATGATAGCAGAGCACCATACTTGTCCCATATACAGAACACCACGACTTGGATTCCAAGCCTGACAACTTTTACATGCAATAACAAGGGGAATAGATTTTATTTATTTATTTTCAACCGTTTTACAATGGTGCGCAGTCACATGCGTACACCAAATGGAATACATCGCTCCTGTTGGAGTTCTTGTAACCACTGCTCATTTTATGCCTGCAACAAGCTGTCTAGCACTGGAGGGAAAACGAAGGGCAACAGAATACAGCAGATAGAAAAAACAACTGACAGAACAGAAATAACCTTACCATTTTCTGTACAAATATGAAATCTTTGCTGTAAGTGGACAAGGCCTCTTTGAACAGTCTCCTTTCTTGATGTGTCCATTTGTCAGAGCCTTGAGAAAGAGTGAATTCATTATAAACAATAAAATCCCACCACCTTTATGTTGATCTGTGGTATCTGTAACAAAAACTGAGAAACCTCAAGCACTTGCTAATGACTGCTACTATCCAAATACCAGTATGGCTGTACTGACTCAGACATTGAGTCCATCTACCCAGCATTTGGTCTCCAGCAGTGGTCACAAGCAGTTGCCTAGGAAACAGTAAGATCAGAAGCAAGCAAATACAAAGCCTCTCCCTAATTTTTCCTAACCTCTGACCACTTCCAGCGCAGGGGATTTCCTGAGTCTGTAGCAATTTGCTTACTTAGTAAGTATCCTTCTAAGTGCAGATCCACTCTTCCTTTCAACCACAGTTAAACTTCTTGCACTCGAAACATCCTTTGCTGAGTTGTTGCACAGATCAGTAGACCCTCCACATCAAGAACCACCTCCTTTCCTTTATTTCCTGGTTCCTAGTAGCTTCACTGGATGACCTTTTGCTCATCAAGTGGAAGAGAAAGCGAACCAAATCTCGCCCATCACGTCCATGCTGTTCAGGACTGCATGTCCTTTCTGGCACTCCCACACCTTTGCTCGTTACTGCTGTCCCTCTGTGAACCTTGTCCACTACTAAAAACCATTCCTACAGAGTTGAAGGGGCCAGAAGGGCATGTAAGAGTCAACAGAGAAGCAAACCACGGACTTGCGCAGTGGCATCACCATGTTATCTATCCTTTTAACATTTGACTTGCTTTTTTCTTTTGGCTGTTGTAAATACAGTGCCAACGCTTTCACAGAACTAGCATTATAATCCCAAGATATAATTGAGAAGCATCACTATAGAGTTCATAATCTTATATGCAAAGCTTGTATTACTAATTCCCATATATGTCACTTCACATTCAACTACATGGAAGTCCATCTATCATATTGTTCTCCAGACAATAACTCTTACAAAGTTCTTTTGCAGCTCTTCACTTACATGACTTGAGATAAGACATTTAAATCCTCCGTGACAGAGGTCACAAGACTGTAGCAATGTGCAATATGCACAAAGTGCTTTCTGATCATTTAGTGGGAGCTGTGTATAAAACTTTCAGATACTGTTATTCTGCATTTGCTTCATGAGCCTAACTGCCCATGAAAATGTGAAATCAGCACTTAAGTTGGAATTAATTTTGCTTCCTCAGTGTTAGTCAAACAGAAGGAACACAGGACTGCTCTACTGCATCAAAGCAGTGTCCCGGGCAGCATTACATACACTAAAGGGAGGATATGCAAGAAGCCATAAAACACAAAATGACTTAAACTATGAAAATATTTCCACTTCAGTCTGCCAGGGAGCTTCTGGAACATCTAAAACTTTTATCAAAAGAAATCTCTAATATTCCTGTCAGTGTTACCATTCTCCATAGAAGTGCTTGCCACTGCACTGAATTCAATTAACTTGGGCTAGGCACCATGCATGGTATTGAAGTCTACAATATATAGGGTTTTTTATTAACTGCAAATGTTTTGGTTTTCAGTGTCAATTCATAGGCTCACAAGCTTAGAACAGTTATGTCACCACTACTTCGTATGATGAAAATTACAAAATTAACTTTTCTGCAACCTGTTTTCTGCAGGCTTTTCCAATACTAGATATAAGCATGCATTAGTTATTTCCACAGAGATTTACAGTAAAGCTCTCTCAAGCATCAGAGAAATGCACTGGCTTCAAGCCACGAGTTTTATTTATTCTGTTATCACCCAAAGAATCTTTTTGCTGACACTGCCTTGCTGTCTTTCCCACCCTGAACCAGCGTCATTCCCTTCTTACACAACTTGCCAGTCATTTGCATTTATTCTCCCTTTGGGCAGGGGTAAATGAACTGATTCAGTCCAGGGGACTGCTCTACTATGCCAAAATATAACCTGAAAAAGCACGACAACACAAAAAAGAGATTTTTAGATTTCGGCAAGCCTCTCCAGTCATGCTTTCCTGCCTCTACTCCACCGTCCTGCAAAAAAAATAAAATCATAGTAGTAATAATAATAAAGAAACACTTCTACAAACTAATTTTACTGTACACCTACAGAGGATTCAGACCTTACAGAGCTTCCCCAATAGCTGTGGTATTAACGGAGACCCTTATAAGATCATGCGGGTTAATTGGAAGTAACCTAATTAATAGAATAAATCCTGTGTAGGAAAAGAAACAGAAGAAAAGCTGTTTTTAACTCTGGTTGCTGGGAAACCGCTTTTGCTCTTGTTAGCTTGAGGGAGATATAGAGAACGTGTACAGAGAGAGATCTGCAATGCAGCAAGAAAGAATTTTGGACTTTGGAATACAGATAGGATTTTAAGGCTGATCTTGATGTTTAGACAATCCTTCTACATTTTGTATTACCTGCCATATCAGTTTGTGCTCATTATCTGACACTAAATATCTTCTACAAATTTGGGGACTTTGGACCCCGACCATGGGTTTCATGGGGGCTACACCTACACCCAGGGAGCCTCCCTGAAAAGTGGCTCAAATCCATTACATATGGTATATGCTGGGTCTGATCCACACCCTAACACAGTATGCCTAAGTTTCCAGATTGCCTGAAGCGCATTCTTCCAGAGACCATCTCTCCTGCAGTTCTCACTGCAGCAAAACTTCAGACCTAAGAAATTCCACCATTAAATTAAAGCAATTCAAGCGCTCGCAATGGCATCTCTCTTGTACTAGATACGTGTTCCCTCTTCCCTAAACACCATCCTGACAGATGGCAAAGATGGAGAGATTAGAGTATTCTTCCAACCAGTGTGCCCAGCTCTCCTGGCAAGTAACAGAAAAGCCTCAAGATTTACAACTTCCTTCCCTCACAAGTCAACAGGTTCCAAAGGTGAGCTATTTGCCTGTACCCTCATTAGAAGGCAGCGCTAAGGATGAGTTTGGATACTTATAGTTTGTGACACCGGTTAATTCTCACAAGCCAGTGATGCGCCATTTGGTCTATTGCACCTTTAAGTGTGGCAGTGCCCAAGAGCTGTGATTTTGAGTACGGAGCAGAAAGCCCAAATTGTTAAGCCAAACAAATGCCACTTGAAGTTATATTAAGTTATTGATGCACTAGATTGTATGAAGCTTCCATATGTCTTGAATGGCTGATTATCAATGACAAATAAACTATTATTCAAGAGCTGCTGCATGATGCTACAGCGTGGCTGTCAGTATTTGCAATCACATGTTGCATTCAAGGGCATTAGTAAGTAATGCTTCGTCTTGTTATTTTATGGTACTTAAATCCAGACTGGTGAGATTTCATTTCATGCTGCAATACACGGAATCAAACTTTGTTTACTGCTTAAGAAATAGGGATACACTGATGTCCACAGGTCTCAGTGCTAGTTAACAAGGATTAGTGTGATTTCACATGAAAGACTAAACAAAACAGTCTCTCCTACCTGCTCCCTGCATCACAATAAAATATTTTCTGAAACTACTGTGAAGTTGCTTCAGTAAAGACTGTTCTTCCTTCTCTGCCACACAGGCAGAAAACTTCTTACCTGTTCTGCTAATTAGTTTGCTCACCAAGGATGAGGCTGCTGGGATATCTCATCTTCCTGCTCTCATGCCCCTGACTGGCTCACACACATGATCTGGTGTCAACAAGAGATCCCGGTTGCTGATGCTCTTCTCCACCTTCCCCCATTGTCCACCCCTTGGACTGCAACAGAACTGGTATCAGAAGCACTGGGCATCTCCCCCAGCCAGGACTCAAAACCTGATCTTCACATTTATTCACTCTCGTTATCAGCTGCCATTAAACATGTTTCTGTTCTTGCTCTCAGGCCAAAGGGTTAAGGAGTTGATTTACAAAAGAGTCCTTGTTACTTGGGAGTCTTTCCAGTGAGTTGCTACAGCCAGGAAGTAGCTTGCTTCTGTACTTAAGCCACACAATGACTGTAACTGGAAATGAGTCTATGACCCTAGACATTGTGACTGACTGGCCACCAGAAGATTCTTGGCTTGTTTCCTATTGAGCCTAAACTGGAAACAAAGTCTTAATCTCTTATGTAAAATATCCTACTCTGTGCTACAAAGCTTTAAGCAGAGAAGAGAGATTTATCACCTATGCTTAGGTGACATAACCTAAGTCCAACGGCTTAACACCACCTTGTGTATTTCACAGAGCACTTCATCACCAAAACAAAGCTCCTCCTGTATTTGTTAAAGAAGTCACCATCCCAGACCCGCTTCTTTTTGGACAGATCCATGCAAAGGGAGGTTCTGCATTCAGTACTATGACACCAAGCGAGAGTTACAGCGCTGCCTCTTTGGAAATGTGCTTGTGATTATCATACTCATTTATCATGCACCATGACCTCAGAAAAGGAAGGCAAGACAGCAGACACTTACATACCAAAATATGAAGACCTTACTGCTAGAAAATTGTAATCTATGAACAACAGCAGTTTTAAAAGATGAACAAACTAAATTTTAGTTTAGGAGGGGAAAAAAAAAAGTTACTCAAGGTATTTCTAAATCTGCAGAACCCTACACAGCAACATGGATACAAAGTTTCTGTTTATCATCAGTCGGTAAAAACTGCCTAACTTATAACAAAAGGCTCCAGAAGTACTGGTGCTGTTCATGCCACCTATCAGATGCTGCCATCCCTGCACAGACAGCAGAGAGTGCAGCGTGATCCCACGCTCCGGCCTGGGATGTCAGCCTTGGACTCTGTAAACCAGCAGATACAGAAACCGCAAGGAAACCTACCAGCGTAGTGGTAATTCGCCAAGGGGTGACACTTCAATCTCACTGGCTTTCTCAACAGCAGCTTCTCAAGAGCAACCTAAATGAAAAAGCCAGGAAAAGCAGAATTAGCAAATGCAGTCAGCTGCTGCACACAATTGCATTTAGAAGACTATTTAGTACGAGGATATGAATTAATTTTCTCTCTTTTTCTTTTCTGTCATACAAAATCACATCATTACTCCAAGGCCCATTAACATTGTACCTTGCAGAACAGTACCTAATGCACACCTGTCCTGCCTTAATTAGCACAAACGTGGCTATTACTTAGCAACGTCCGGCTCTTCCCTCCCTGCTGCTTGCCACATACAAATATGTTTATCGTGTTTTGATTTGATAGCGTTAATTAATATATAATGGTCGGTTTGACAATATTTATAGCATGAAGTCTTTTAGAATACCTGTTTAGGTCAACATTTTTCAGGAACGACAGCAAGTATAGCTAAACCTCCTTTGGATCAGGGAGACAGATGATTTGCGGATCCCTAAAATTTTTCCCCTGACCATGCAGAACCCCCTGTATAACAAATTTCACATCCTGACAGTAAGTTCAGTCACCTCTCTCAGACCCCTCAGATACAGCTAACAGAGCCTAAGGAAACTAGGACACAAGCTAAAACCCAACGTATCAGACAATCCTGCAAGATCATTTCAGCCCTGTGTTCTCCTGCATTGTTTTAAACTGGCTTTCCAGGAACCGGTGCAGGGTCTTGTCTTTCTGTAACACCAGGTAAAATGTATGTTTTGCCCTAGTTAATAACATTCCCATCATTAAACCAATGCAAATATTTGAAATGCATTATTTATATGAGAACTGTGTGCAATTACCTCACAGTTCTGAACAAATAAGAAGATATGATTGCTGCTACAAAAAAAGGTTTTATAAGGACTAGAAGAGGACTAAGCTTTCTGTGACCAAATATAAAGCTTGTGAAATAATCAGGGCTGGAGCAAGCACTGGGAGACATTCAAAGCCCCAAGGCTATAAACTAAGTAATCTTATCTATATGAAATACACAGTAAGCCTTCAGAGAGACACTGCTTTGAAATTTAAATTTATTAAAGAATGAAAGGGAAAAGTCATTCCCCAAAAATGTTACAGGATGTTTAAAGCATCACTGTGAATCAATCAGAAACCTCTTTTTTTTATATAACCATATCTAAACCCATTTAATAAAGCATGCTAATTTATCTCCAGAAGAGGATCATATCTCCCCTTTCAGCTTCTTATCTTACCATAATATCTCCTTTTGCTTCAAAGAGAGAGTGCAAAGCATATTCTGAGTTAGTTCCTCCGCCAGGTAACACACTCGAACAGCTCATATTTAAAAGGTCTTCCACTGTCAGAAACAAGTCAACATTTTACTGCTAATACAGTACCTGTCAGTCAAACACCCAGAGCCAAGGATTCTACAACGCTACTCAGACAATGCAGCTCAGGGCAGCAGCTTTCATACTCTCTTTTCCCCAGCACCTCCATCTCCTGGTTTCAGGATCAGCCCCTGAGGAGGGATGCGATGGGATTTGCAGAGCGCATCCTTGGGACGAGGCAGGCTACTGCAGGGCCAGAGGCAGAGATCTGGCTGTGAGGCAGCTACTTGCACAGGCAAGTGGTGCTGCTGTGCCAAGCAGGCTCCAGTCAGGGTAGAGAAAGAGAAATGAACCACGCTGGAAGCCCACACAGGGACACACGGGGAGGGGAGCAGGGTTTGGTTTGTTTTAATAATCTCCAAATCCTGTGTTCCTCTGCTCAGGACTGGTAGAAGCCATGCTCTTCCTCTCAGTTATGGTCACGGGACAGGCCCAGGAACCATCAGCCACCTCTCATTTGCAATCTTTGCCCTCACAGGGGTGGTTCAGTATCCAAAAAAATCCAGCACTTTTCAGCAATCACCTTTTCCTTCTTGGCTGCCAGAGAGCAGTTCATCCAGGTTTCACTTTAAGTGCCATTATAAAATGCTGTTACTCTGCAACAAGCAGTTGAGGTCTCTTGCTCTGCATTCTCAGTAATTAATATTTTCTTGAATGTTTTGTACCCTGTACACACGAGAATCCAGCTTCAACGGGCATAGGGTGACGTGTGAACTTCTAAATCAGTAAGTCATTTTACCTCTTTGTTGGAAGACTTTGTTTTCCAGTTCTGGCCACGGTTTCCAAACCAAAGTAGCCTTGTGCACATCTTTCTCCATTAACAATCTGTTCTGCAGCTCAGGAATATCAGCCTGGAACCTGGGCCCAATATTGATTCGTCTACAGAAATAAATAAATCAATCAATAAATAAAGTAAATAAGTAAGTATTCAGTTATGCAACTAGAAGAAAACAAAACAAAACAAAACAAACCAGAAGTCACACATTAATGTTCACTTTCTTTCCAGCAAAACTTTTATTATGCTGGAATGGCAGGAAATTGTGTCAGATTGCTTTATGCAATCCTTTACTCTTGGTGGGATAAGTATTTTGAATATTAGAGAGAACCAGTCCCTTGGGGGGAAAAAGAAAATTTCAATACACAAATTAAGCTATACTGAGACATCATACCTTCTGGACAACCCAGGCTAGCCTGCGTGCATGCTGACTAGCAATGAGGCTAGATGCTGCAAACAGGAACTTGCTGTTTCACAGAGAATGGCACTCTTCAGAGTGCAGAAAGAGACATTATTGCTGATGGACAATCCTGTTTGCAGTCCACTCTGGGGAACCTATCAGGTAATACCTCTCCAGAGCCCCACAATTTTATATATATATAAAAAAAGCAAGAGTATTGCATCAGGATGTTTTCCTTACAGCCTTCTTCCCAGCCACCACTAACTTGGCTCCCACCAAGACTCTCCTAGCATTTTTCACTGACGATATCTACATCTCCTACAGCCACTTCGCTCCCAATGTCCTCAGCCACTGTCCAGAGCAACTTTAAATGCATCCAGTCCAATATGACTTCCGGTAGTCAAACACTACCCACCCAGGCCACATGCTCTAGGCTGCATTTAGTCTATAAAAGCAGTGACAGAAACAGGATTGTTTTTCTTACGGTTCAACAGTCTGTTCTCCAGGCCCAGGCGTCACTGGGATGACATTTCCATCAATACTATCTGAAACAGAGATCGGAGTCCGAGTTTAAAACAGGATTTCGGTAACAACTGCTGACCCTCTCTACCTCTTGGGCTGCGTTCCTATTGACGTCAATGTCATTCCAGTCTATTAGGCAAAAATTACCCTTCATCAGGCAGAAACAGTCTAAATGGCTACAGGTAACAGAGATGTCCTACGTTGCAGAGGTTTCTACTGCCCTGATCATGTATGACTGGACACATCTCTTCTTGTGAAGCACTGAATAAAATACTTAAAGTGAACCTCATGTCTCAAATAAGATCTTTTCCCTCCACTTGAGAAGGCCCAGATGTAATGAAAGGCATGGTGGTCCTCTCTTGAGGCAGACCACACTGAAAGATCCCAGCCTTACTTGTTGGTTAGGCTCCTCTATTCACTCTACACTTTTAACACCAATTCAAAAACCCTGATAAAGATGGATTTTTCCTGTGAAGTAGCAGGAACAGCCATGCACGTGAGCACACAAATATCATTGATGTGGTAACAACGCAAGAGAGGACAGTAACATTTGCCACTCCGTAAATGTAATTACTTACTAGACCGACACAGGAGCACCCGTGGAGTAGGCGTCAGTGGAGTAAGCGGCAGCTGAGTATGTGAGGTGCTATGAGATGATGTGATAACGCTGCTGAAGAGACCAGACCCTTGCCGAACTGGACTAAGCATCGGTGGTGGAGTGTAGGGGGGGAGCTCATGCGTCCGATCCAGCAGATGATCTCCGAGGACACGGGGAGAGCGAAGCTGACTCTGGTACAGGGTGGCACCAGAGTGGGACATGCTGAAGTTGAAGGAAGGAGGAGGTATGAAGAGAGGTTCAGGTCTGTGCCGATACTTCTTCTTGTCCTGCAATGGTTTGAAGTTTTCTTCCAATTTCACAGCACTTTGATGAGGTTTTTTGCTAAGTTCCTAAACGAAAACACACAGATTTTAGTACTTAGGCACACTTAAATCTGGTTTGCACACAATCCCCTGCAGCTTGGGGCAAGAGCCACAGAAAAGGTGCTACTACCAAGCAGTTACTCAGGTACCACCATAAGAAGCCTGGTCAGTACCGCATTTGGTGCTACACAGAAACCTCAGGGGAGTGAAAAGAAAAAAAGAAAAAAAGGAGAAATTACCCTCACCTTCCACAGCAAGTTCTCTGGGTCAAGGTCAGGCTGAGCCACAGGCATAGACACGGAGAGGCTGCCCTCAGCCCTGAGCCTCCCACACCCTTCTTCATCCCCACCCGAAAACCCTGGGCACTTTGCACTGAGCACACACAGGCTGTTGGAGTTACTTCATTACCCAGTCACAGTTTATTAGAAACTTTATATGAGATGTTTTCCAATACATTTATTTTGTTTGACTAGGATGGGCACATGAGCTCAGTGGAATTACTGCAGTACTCAGCAGCAGGAAAGGAAGAAAAATGTAATAAATACAAATTCTTTGCCTCTTATCACTACATTCCCATCAGCTTGAGTACAGTCCAGCTGCAACAAATCTTGAACTTAACCCTCCTCCTCTTTCCTTGGAAGAAAAAGGGGAGTAGATGACCATTTGGGGAATTCACACACTGTAACATGCCTAGAATTCTAGATCTTGAATGTTAAAAAATCACTTAACAATAAATCACTAGTCCACAGAAGTAGAATTTGTGTGAATGTGGAATCTGGATTTCTGAGAGGTAGGGGTGAGGTGGGAAGAAACAGTTTCTCAAGTCGCACTTTAAGAACACACAGAAGCTGGCAGACAAACACACTATTAAATATACTGCTTTCAGGTGTTCAGATTGTAATCATTCTTAAGATAAACTTGGGAGCATCAAAGAAAATTTTTGACAGATAGGGCTACTCCAGAATGTCTGCATCATCCAGTAAATTCTACTACTACATAAAGTAAATTACTACAATGTATGTTTAGACAACATACATCTTCACACCATGGGTGGTTCTTGAGAATCACATTCACCCAATAAAAATCATGTTAAAGGAGCATTAGCACTGTCACCCTTTATCCCTTATATTAATATGTTCCAGCTTGTGGAAATGCTTTTGATTACAGAGGTCCTGTCCTCTCTGTTAGATCATGGCTGTATCCTCTCCAACAGCTGTTGACATTTTTGTCTCAAAAAATAAAATTTTTTGGAAGAGTTTTCCTTTCATAAGAAAAAACAATACAGCTTTACAGAGAATTTTGTTCATAAGGGACAGTCAGAAGAGTGAAAGGATGAGTGTTACCTGTAACCACAGACACAGCCCATCACAATGGTGAACATCTAGTGTTCAAAAAGGAGAAAGGGGAAAAAAACCCCTGAAGTCAATCTAAAAAAACCAAAACCCATAAAGCTAAAAAACATCCCAGAAGGCCAGATCCAAGTCCTTGATTAAGGGCTCACTTTGTTCTACTCTTTAAATGTGGAAGAGCTGGTACTCCTTTCTCACTAGTGTAAAGTAAACTAACTAACCAAGACAATGTCTTACAAGTCTCACACACCCTCGTGTCCTACGCTGCCTCACTCACAGCAGCCCTCAGCCTTGGTGTGGATATGCCAACACTACTTTCAAAAAAGATCAGTTGAACATTCAAGGAGATCATGATGTCTGCAGGCTCTCAATGCAGAATCCCCTCAACACTTTTCTGAAGCTCCAGGAACTGATTCTCATTATCCAAGACTGAATGCATCCTTGTGGACTCTGCTGCTGTACCCTGACAGATCCACTCTCTGGGTAGATCTTGATGGAGCTCACTTGACAGCTAGCTTCAGCCCACCGCCCTGTAACCTTGCTGAATATTTAGTTTCCTTATGCTTTTTGATACTATTGATTCCATGAGCTTTACAGGAGCTTTTCTGGACAGCTCAAAGCACAGTATAAACAAATGTAACACAGCTCCAGCCCCTTGGTATTAAAAAAAGTCTCCAATGGTACAATCTCTTAACAGAAGAAGAGGGAACTGTAGATCTTTTGATCTTTGAACATTTCCAGTGCTACTGCTTATATAAAAGAGAGGATACAGAGATGAAACTGTGCAAGTTTAGTTTGCCTGGGCAGTAACAAAGACTGCAGGCATAATTTTGAGTGAATGAATGTGCATTTAGCCTAACACTGGCAGATTTAATTACAGTCACTTTATATACGTTGCAGAAATACACAAGCCTAAGCCACCTACTCTAATGTCTCTAGAGAAGATCTCCCACTCAGAGCTCAAGGATTCAGACAAGACTGTCCCTTTTATCTCCAGAAACTAGAAATAGAAAAGAAAAATTGTACTGCTGAGTTACGATCCAAGTACTGTGAGATGCTGGCTTCCACAGTAAAGTGGAATTTTACGTGTAAAACATCTGTCTGAAAGGAAGAGAGTAAAAGATTTTACATGTATTAAAAATCAGTGTGTATGTCTGAGCAAAGAATTGGGAGGAGCATGATAAATATGTGAATATTACAAGGAGTCGCTCACAATGGTATATGCTGTCTCCTCATTTGGCCATCAGCCTCACGGGGAGAAGGAAAAAAAAAATAAAATCACAGGAGTATTTCTCTGCATTACACAGGTAATATTACACAGCACTTACAGTCCCCCATAATCTCTTAGCATAGCACAGTCTGCAAGCCCGGATTTGAAGGAATGGGCACCGTCTATTCCTACATGAGAACATGAAATAAATACTGCTTTCTCCAGGACTCTTTCAGGAAAACAATAAAGAGCATTCTCACATTTCATTCAAGTACTCATCAGCTCCTCGTGCTGCCTGACAATTTCAGTTTTATGAGTGAAATGAAAGCACTAAACATATCTACTTTTCCTGAATCAGAATACCCAGTGATTAACCTTTAGATCTGACGCATACAGAGAGAAAGCGAAAAACTACTTGACTGCAAAACTGAGCTGGCTGGCTTCATACTGGCTTAGAGCACACACTGTAAGCACTGCACAGTGCCCTCTTATCTTTGGCTGAAATGCAAAGCACATATATCTGACTTTAAAACACAGGAAGAAATAAAACTGCTGAATTTAAGCAACAACATAAAAAACAAAGCAGCCTGAAAAGGAAAAAAACCAAAAAAACAGTAAAGATACTAAATCCCTTTGTTCTAGTGGGATAAAAGAATATCACATTCCAATTTCAAATGACTTCTTTTCAACTGAGGTCTTGATTCCTCAGCAAAGGAAAAATTAGTATTTTCAAATGACTGAAGAAGAAATGCTACGATGCTATAGGCCTTTTTTGTTTATTAGGCATCATTAAGATTCTGGACAATATTCTAAAATACAGATGTTTTAGAAAGGAGCAACACTATAAGCAAAGGGATTTACCAAGCACAGCACAGTTAGTGGCAAGAAATGCAGCACTCACAGAGGATGAGCAGGGGTTGGCCACTTTTGGGCTGCACGGTGGAGAGTAAGTCATCTTCACGAGAACGGGCATCTCGTCATCTGACACAGAGTTGGCAGGCTTGTCTTTGACTGGGGCAGCGCTGGCAGAGGGCTGCGTGCCGGGCTCGGGTGACAGAAGCTTTACAGGGACAGACACTGGCATGACGATGGGCGCGAGGCTATCCACCTCTTTAGGCAGCGGCTGCTGTGGTGGTTTCTCTCCTTCATCCTGTACAGACAATTAAAGGCTTTCAGCCCAAGTGAGGGAGGGCTACTGCTGGATCGATACGCTACACAACGTATGCACCGTGGCTGAAAAGAAGTGGCCAGGGTTACAAAACACACAACAGCGTCGCTTCTTGGACTCTGTTTGCCTTGAATGAGGTTGGCAGATTACTTATGGCTCCTATGTAGGGTTCAGACTCTGTGATAAATAACCACCATAAGCATCTTTACAAGGTAACTTGCAGGAGGGGAGATAAACACATGCTCTTTTTATCACTATGAAGACAGAATTCTCCATCACCCACCTAAAAACAAAGACACAGATGGTTTAACTCCTATAGCTCTTTGCCTTCCTGTGGTATTCCCTGTTAGGACAGAATTTCTAAAATATCAGGACAGAGAAAGACTGACTGATAGGGCAAGCTATTTTTATGCAGAACAATTCAAACCCACATTTTTTGGTTTGCTATTTGTTGATACCTATAGAACTAAAACACTCGGGAGGAAAGCTGTCAAAGATTCAACAATCCTGCTCCTTCAATTAAAGCCTGGGAAGGCTTCCAATAAACATCCCTTAGTCATCCAAGTAGTCCAAATGAAAATAAGGAAGACTTGATGTTCCTGGTATTTCTAATATAATAAACAAATATGAGGGGGGGAAAAATTTAGACGCTCCCTGACACAACTTTGTAAGGTCTTTTTGTAACATGCAGGGAAACAGCAAGGGACAAACACTGTTCTGTCCTCCACCCTGCCTCTGACTTCAAAGCAAGACTTTGGGCCTATGAAACTCGCAGAACTATGTGCATTTCTACTTACACAGGGTATGACGTAACAAAACAGTGCAGAGAAGAACAAGTTTTGACAGCAAAGCAAAGCTTGGCAAAGCGAGCAAACGTCAACATGGAAAGGAGAGCACCGAATACTGAAGTAAACCAGACTGCTACCTGTTTGAAGTTAGGAGATGCTCTTACTCCTCCGTGTGACCTCATGTGACCATTTAGAGCCGGCAAACTCTTAAACTCCTTCAAGCATATTGAACACAGTAGCTTGTTCTTCACATCAGCTCTCTCAGGAAGTGTTTCTCTGTTCTGGCCACTATTTTTATTTTCATTTTTTTTAGCATGGAACAGAAGAAGAGACATTAGTTTGGCATGTTCCCTTGCTTGCAGAGGAAGCTTTTTAGTCAAGGAAGTCAATAAAATTTTACAGCTAGACGGTTATGAAGCCACAAATAAGCACAGGGTGAGTGCTGTGGAATATATGGGCATAATCTAGATCAGCCACTCCCAAGATGAGGAGAAGGAAAGTTTTGAGTTGGATATGCTCATCAAAACACGGCCCTTGGTATGGAAAAGTCGGAGAACTCACAAGATCTATTATGACAGACCTACATTTCCCCACTCATGACAGAAGTTAACAAGTACTTGGACACAACGCCCCTACTTCATAAAACTATGGATTGTTCAGGGATGGAAGGGACCTTTAAAAGTCATCTAGTCCAATGTCCCCACAAGTGAGCAGGTACATCTTTAACTAGATCAGTTGCTCAGAGCCCTGTCCAATCCTACCCTGAATGTTTCCAACTATGGGGCTTTTACCACCTCTCTGGGCAACCTGTTAAAGTGCCTACTTATAGTAGACATCTGTGCTGGAGGACACCCGAGCCCTTCAGAGGTGAGACCTTAAGATCTCGCAGAAGACCCCTGCTGCCACAGCTATGAATCCAAACCACACGTAACCCTTCTCTTACAAATGCAACACTGAGAGTAAACTGCTCCTCTGCTTTTGCCTTTCCTTTGTTTCCATTTTCCCCTCTCCCTGTCCCAAAAGATAAAGTATTTTATTTTATTACTTGAGAGTAGGGAGGGTAGAAATCACACAAAGTTAAATTCACAAAGCACAAAACTAAAGATGTTGCCAGAAGAGCAACAACTATTACCTACCCAGAGTACATTCCCCTTTCTACACTGTAGCACTCATTTGTATTTCTCATACTTTAATTAAAAACACACACAAAAAAAATCTTAGAAAAATACCTTTGTTCTGGGGACAGCGGCTGCAGTCTACCATCTGACAGTTGTGCCTGCTATCAAAGGAGGAGGGGGGAAAAAAAGAAAATAAATTTTCAGGGAATATTAATACATAAATGAAGGTCCTCACGGTATTACATTTGCATTTTGCATATGATTTTACTAATATTAAAAGAATCAAGCCTTACATGTCTCTACCAAATCAGTGCCTCTGTGAGCACGGCTAGTGCAAGTTTTCTTACACTCACCTGCTGACCGAAGCCTGCTCTGACCCAGAAGTACTAGGTCTGGAAACAGGGAGTTGGCTAACTCGCAACAATCGAGCTCTCAGGTGTTGAAAAAGTAGCAAGAGCACTTTGCTGTAACTGGGTCCCTCCTCGCCAGAAACTGAGGCAGAACTTCCCGAAGCCTCTCATGAGGGCAGCGGCAGCAAAAGCTCTGTGCTGCCGCTGGCCTGGCCCGAAGCCAACCCAGCAATGTCGGCAGAAGTCTGTTTAACGCAGTTCCCCAAAACATCCCAGTGTCACCCATCACTCACATCCTAAACTGCTGGCTCTCCTGCGACCGGTTCATTTCCACACCTTACTACTCCTCTGTAAAACAAGTCTGGCTGAGAAGGGATCTAAAATACTACCTACCTGGGGCCACGCGGTGCTGGGAGAGTCTTGCTGAGAGCTTTTGTTGTTCAGATGAACTCCCGAGGGTGGCAAAAGAGTTCGATGAGGGGCAGCGTTACCCACAGAACTGATCTCCTGCCGCGCGGGATCCTCGGCAGTCTCTGGCGGAGTGAGGCCAACATGGGAGTTGAGCGAAGGCGCTCTGCTGTCGCTCGGGTATTGCTTCTGCTGATCTTGCTGCTGCAGCAAACTCTGCGGGTACAAGTGCCTGTACTGTTCATGGGGATCTTGGTAGGAATACTGAGGGACCGCTCCCAACTGGATAAGCTGCACGGGATGACTCACATCCTGAGAGTACTCGTGCGGTTCGTGCATAGTCTTTGGGTCAGGTTCCCGGTGATACGGAGGAAGCGGCAACTGCATCTGTTGGTGCTGTTGCTGTAACTGCGGCATGACGGGCTGCGTTTGGTAATACTGAGCTATTTGCATGGGACACTGCCGCTGCTGCTGCTGTTGCCGAGGCGGCTGTTGCTGCTGCTGCTGCTGGATCTCCTGTATTGAGAGCCGCTGGTGTCCCTGCTGGGGCTGAGCATAGTATTGAGCCTGCTGCAAGTGCTGCATCTGCTGCGGTAAGAGCTGCTGGGACTGCATTTGTGGAACGTGTGTCTGTCCTTGCTGAAACACAGAATGCATCTGCATCTGCGATAAATGTTGCTGGTAGTCGTAGTACAACTGTTGGTGCTGCATGACTTGCATTTGTTGCTTTTGCTGCGTGCTTGCAAAATTCTGGTGCTGTGGCAGTGGGTGGGATCTTTGCCTGGTTGGTAGCTTTGCACACTGGAAGTTACAGGCTGTTGCTCACCCGCCGGCTTCTGGGACAGCAGCTGCCTGAGCGCGCTGTCACCAGAATTATCCGCCATCGAAGACTCGGTGTGCAAAACCTGAGCCATGTTGTTGACTTGAATTCTCAGATTCTGGTTAGCAAATACTTGTGTAAAGGAGTCCAATTTATGCAGGACACCGCTGGTAATTTTTTGCGATCGACTTTCACTAGGTTGAGAGTAAGAATATTGGTATCCGTCGTGGGACTCCCCCTGCCCGAGGGGACTCCACATTGCGCTTTGATTACTCAAATTGTTCCTCACCGGAACGTGGTTTCCTGAGCCAGAATGTGTCCAACTGGTTTGTCTAGATGTATCCATTGACCCAAGACCTTTTGAACCTACAGGCAGAGGTATGCTGTCTCTTGAATCTTGGGGAAATGGGGGGGAGAGAGGGGACGCTTGGGGAGCATCCATAACAGATGTCCCATAGCTATGATTTAGAGATGGAAGGGAGTTCATTTGGTGTTGTTGGTAGTACAAGTTCTCATTGCTGTTGGCAGTATGGTTAGTTTTATACAATTGCTGGTCCCCCATTTTTGGTCACTTCCGTTCCAAACTTACAGGCACATGAACCATTGAAATCTCTATGAACCCTGAGATAGCTGAGTGAGGGGAAGGGAGGGGAAGGGAAAAGATGCTAGAATTACTTATAATTCAGCATGTCCATGTGTATCACAAGGACCAAGGTTTCCTCCAGTCTGTCAGTAATTCCAACCTCAGACTCAATGTTGCTTCACATCTTCAGTAAATGGCCCACAGCATAAACCCTACACAGATCAATAGCTTCAGTGTCCCAGGCACCTGCAGAGTAAGAGAAAGACAAGGTAAGTGCTAGCCTTCTGTATAAACTGTTATTGTCTCAAAGAAAATCTCTTGGTTCAAAATACATAATCAGATGCAAAATTGTAGCAGCTGGGCTATTCCAGAGCAGCAAGATTACTTCCTTTCATCCCATTATCCTCCCTCTTCTCCAGTGCTCTGATAAAATCATTCCGCCAAACCAAAAAAGGTTTATTCTTCAAAACAGCTTCTTCCCCTAAAGTATATGAGATTCAGGCAGTTTTAGCTGGCTGCATACTGCTCTCTCATGACTAGTTTTAGCCAGATAGTTGACTATCAAGCCAAACTGCCTTCCTACTGTTACAGTCTTCTCATCAGAAGCAACACACCCATTTTATAACACAAAATCAAGTACTGCAGACATCATGGGTGCCTCTACAATACCCTGAAAAGACAGATAAAAGAAAACCACAGCTTTGAACAAGCTGACCATACTTAGATATCAGCATCTAAAAAGGACACAGAGAAAAGTTAACTGCAATCTGAGGTTTGCCTAGAGCCTTTTACAGCTTCTCACAACTTCCAGGATATCCAGGTGCTCACTTGGCCATATGAAAATAGTGTTACTGAAGAATAAGATGCATAAGATGCTCATTGCTGTCACAAGGAAAAAAAACAAAACAAAACAAAACCAAAGATACTAATGAAAGCAAACCATAGCATAGTTACTCAACTTCATCCGTGCACAGTGATTTGTTTGCTACATCTGTGTGGAATCTGACTAATGTGAAAACCAAACCAGTCCACAGAAATCTTTTCTGATCACTCACCATACATTGGAAGTGCCGAACTCCGATTTCTGTTCTACCCTCTCATCCTTCCTTCTTCGCCTCGAGTTATTTTAACAAACTTATACCAAATGCAACCTCTTATCATTTTTAGTGTATAAACTGTAATTCAAAGCAATACTTTACAGATGTCTCTACTGGTTTTGATGAATAAAACAAAATACACAGGCATGTTAGAGGGTTGTTTTACTATTCCAGAGTATTAAGCAATCACTGTGCCCTACAATCACACACATGCACAGTAGTACAATATGCCTACACATACGAGTATGTTTTAACAGAAAAGCGGATTCTGAATATTAACAAGAGTACAAAAATATTAGACCACAACCTTAACTCTGCCTCCTTCGCATCTGCCTTTCTAATAACTGCAATGCTGTCCACCAAAGACTTCAGCATATTGATGTCCTTACCTTTCTGAACTAGGAGAATCCGTGATATAGATGGATAAATGTGAAGTCACTGATGGAGAAAATTTTAACCATTGCCAGATGCATATTAACAAGGTCTGTGCTAGCAACAGCAAATAAGGGTAATACATAGCTGCAGGCTGAAAAAAAACCAAAAAACCCTTTTCCGTTCTAGCATAATGTATGACAGAAAACCATAGCTCCCAATGAAGAGGGCTTTCACATATTTTTTGTGTAAACCATCTGCAGCCATTAGCATGTTAACATTTTCACGTGACAAATAATGGCTGAGAATAATTGCAAGTTTATTTCCCTTTTCCAGAAATATACATTGCTTCATAGTTTCTCTAAACACACCCCTTCCAGATTTTTATAGTTGCACAATTAAAAAAATAGATCGGAGTCAACAATGAATGGTCAGGCTGCCAACAAGATTTTTCAGCCACAACCCAACTTCAAAGGCTTCCTATTAAAAAATACGAAGGGAAACTAAATAAAGCCTCCACAAAACATTCAAAGGGCATAAAGATAAATCCTGTGTGACATTTCACACTGAAAGGCCATCAACTTTTTGAGGAAGGTCCCGCATAAGACCTGTGCATCTCCTCTTATGCCTACCAGGTTAAGAGAGCTTAGCTGAGATTGCTCTGAGCACATCTTCCCATGAAAACAGGGCACTACTGGATCTGCTCATATTTCCCTTCTGCACAGTAGGTATGTGCCCCTTCACCTATGAACATTGCCATAATTTACACAAAGTTCCTTGGTTTTGGCCCTTCTTCTTAAAGTTTGGAATTATAAGGATTAGTCAAAGGACAAGAAGGAACAGTGATACAAACCAGTGAGGGAGAATAAATGTCTCCAGGAGACAATTAAAAGGCGAAAATTTCAGAACTAAGAACAGTAAGAGGTATTCTTAAGGTAAACAACACGATTTTGATATAAAAATTAATCAAGCAGCCAGTCAGACCCCTAACCTCCTACTCTTTCCATAGGCAGGAGCCCCACAGTGGCAGACGCTACCGCCTGTACCAGTGTCCACAGCAAGTTTTGTGGTCATCAGAGAACATGTCAGCCCTTGGGCACGCACCAAATTCCACTTACTGCACCCTTTCGCCTGCGAGGTTAACTTGTTACAGTTCTCAGAGTAGAGAAAAATAGTCAAGAAGGTTTTAAATCTGAGGTATTAGTGCAAACCTCTCTCCTCCTCTCTCTCAGAAAAAAAAGAGAAAAAAAAAATAGCTCATAGAAATTTCCTCTCCCACAACTCCAACCCTAATTCATCTCCAGTTTAGGAGTTGGGAATCTACTTACTGCTGTTAGGTAGACTACAGGGTTATCACCAGTTATACAGAAGCATTTGCAAAAACTGAAATATTTAGGATTATATATGATTATCTTAAAACACCAATCAAGTCACAAAAAGACTAGAAAGCTCAGTTACTATGAGTCATGTTTGAAAAAAAAATTTGCATTCTTTTCAAACACCTATTCCCTTGCCCTCTCAAATTAAAAAAAAAAAAGATGAAAATATCCCTTTAAAAAAGCATCATTAATCTGGAGGGAGAAAAGTGCAAATCTTTAAAAAGCATTGTTATTCTACTTTCAGGTAACATGGGAAAAACAGATAGGCACACCGATAAAAGCACAATCAGTAATAAAGCAATCCCTTAGATACCAGATTTTTTATTTTTTTTTCATACTTGAACAGGCTTAAATTCAAGGGCTTGATGCTATATATACTGAGCATTTCCTCTCAGCTTTAACCAAACGCTAACCGTACACGTTTCTTGTCAGATTCAAGTCTAACAGCATTTCAGTGCTGTACACAAGATCATTAAGGCTTCAGGGGCACCAAAGTCAGCCTCTGCCTGGCTGAGAAGCCATTGGCAGCGTACTCAGTGATTCCTATTCCTTTCAATGATAGGAAGAAAAGGGTGCTTTTTCTCCTTTTTGCCTCAACACCCATCACTGCAACTTACCACAACAACTCTAACTACTAAACGGTTAAATCCAACAACTAAAAGCAGCAGGAGTTTTAAAGCAACAATGGTTCTGCAGTTCTGCTCCCAACAGTCATTTATGCTACTTAACCTATCACATTTCTGACACTATAGATATATCCCAATTATGCAATCATTACAAAGAAACATGAAAACAAATGCAAACAGATAGAAAGATTTCTGTAGACTGCCTAGAAAGAGAAACAGCCTCCTTAAGTTTATGGATGGAATCTGGACTCACACTAATGGGAGTTCAATCGATTACAGCAGAGACAAGGTTTCACTCTAACTCTTTTCTCATCATTTCAATGTGGTGCCCTGCAACTTGCAGAGCTGCGATCTCCAAACGGAAAGCCAGGAACGTGCCAAGCTGGCTGAAATGTCTTTACACACTCCAACTGTCTCCCTCTACAAACACAAGCAACTGTAAGGCAACACAAGTAGTAGTAAGTACCCTTAGTAAGTTTGCAGACAACACCAAGCTGGGTGGAAGTATTGATCTGCTGAGAGGGTAGGGAGGCTCTCCAGAGGGATCTAGACAGGCTGGATCGCTGGGCCAAGGCCAATTCCACGAGTTTCAATAAGGCCAAATTTTGGGTCCTGCACTTCAGCCGCAACACCCCCCAGCAGTGCTACAGGCCTGGGGAGGAGTGGCTGGAGAGCTGCCAGGCAGAGAGGGACCTGGGGGTGTTGATGGACAGCCGGCTGAACATGAGCCAGCAGTGTGCCCAGGTGGCCAGGAGGGCATACGGCATCCTGGCCTGTGTCAGGGATGGCATTGCCAGCAGGAGCAAGGAGGTGACAATGCCTCCATACTTGGCTTTGGTGAGGCCACAGCTCGAGTACTGTGTCCAGTTTTGGGCCTCCCACTACAAGAGGGACACTGAGGTGTTGGAGAGGGTACAGAGGTGGCTGCCAAGCTGGTAAAGGGCTTAGAATATATGTCCTGTGAGGAACACCTGGGGGATCTGGGGCTGTTTAGTCTGCAGAAAAGGAGACTGAGGGGAGACCTTATCACCCTCTACAACTACTTGAAAGGAGGTTGTAGAGAGGCGGGGGTTAGTCTGTTCTCCCTATTGGTGAGAGATAGGACGAGGGGAAGTGGCCTTAAGTTGCACAAGAGGAAGTTCAGGATGAATATTAGGAAGAACTTCTTTACTGAAAGGGTTCTCAGGCTGCCCAGGGAGGTGGTTGAGTCACCATCCCTGGAGGGGACTGGCAGATGTTGCCTTAAAGGACATGGTTTAAGTGGTGTTGATAGGGCTAGGAAAAGGTTGGACTTGATGATCTTGAAGGTCTCTTCCAGTCAAAACTGTTCTATGATTCCATGATTCTATAGTCTCTCCTGGAAGCGTATCATAACTCAGTTCTGGTAGGCATGAAATGGAAGAAGATTCCAACACTATCAGTCTTCATTAAAGGTCATCTGATTTTCCTCCTTCATAAATTGTATCACTGGAGAGACAGAACAACTTAGAGAAGACGACAGGCAG